CCTCACCAGTGCTTCATACGATACACCACTTGCACTCTGGGTGCCGTGCGGCCCACCTGCCAGGGGAAGGAGCACAGCGCAGCAGGCGGGAGGCTTCCACGCTCTCCTCCGGAGCCATGACGGGGCGGAGCCGCCGTGTTGCTCCGGAGACAGGGCGGAAGCGGGGAGGTGCCCAGAGAAGGCAGGACCAGCCTGGGGCGACTGGAGGGACTGAGGGGGCTTGAGAAGGCCAGAAGACTTGGGGGCTGGGCCAGGTACACTGGAGCTCTGCATGGACAGGTTCGGGTGTCAAGGCAGAGCTGCAGGTGAGTGGCTGATGCGTGATATTGTGCGCTGGGCTCCTAGTAGATAATAAAAGGCTAATATGCAAATCCACCAAACGGAGGAATGACCGGTTGCTATGACACGCACTGACCACCAGGGGGCAGATGCTCGACGCAGGAGCTGCCCCCTGGTGGTCAGTGCACTCCCACAGGGGGAGCACCACTCAGACAGAAGCAAGGCTCACGACTGGCGAACACAACAGTGGTGGCGGGAGCCTCTCCCACCTCCACAGCCGCACTAAGGATGTCCGACTGCTGGGTTAGGCCTAAGCTGTCAGTTGGACAGCCCCCGAGGGCTCCCAGATTGCGAGAGGGTACAGGCCGGGCTGAGGAACACCCCCCTTTCCCCCCCTCCCCCCGCCCCAAGTGCACAAATTTCATGCACCAGGCCTCTAGTTGGTAATAAACTGATTCTTTTAAAGATTAAAAACTAAAAAACTTGGCGAACATTGTAATGCCACATCTAATGTGTGGCATTGTCCGATTCTTGTTGATGAGAAATGATTTGAAACTAAAGAGGTGCTAGATATATTTTTGCAGTTTTGAAAATAGGTCACAGGTCTACAATCTACTAACTTTAATATTTCAGTTTACAAGAGTAACTTACAAGATGCTCAACACACAGTATTTCACTAGTACCCTACATTGCTGTGCAGCATTTGGCACAGTCATGAGTAAATTTTTTATATTTATTTATTGTCTACTTTTCTAGACAGTAAACACCAAGTCATGGCCTCTTTATGCCTTACTTATTTTCTTAGGTATTTCCAGTATTTCACTCAGCTCCTGGAACACATAAGCTCTCAGTAAATACTAGTGTTTGTCTGAATGACCCTCAATCTTCCAGAAGAGCCAAAACTCTGAGATAGGCAAAAAAGCAGCTTAGCATGAGTTGCAAGTTTAACAAAAGCTTAAGTGGTGCCTTAGAAACAAAACAAACAAAAACCCCTAAGTACTCTGATCGTCACAAGTGATTTAAGGTAATTGGATTGTGTGTAGCAGAAGAAAGGTGGCTTCTATTTGATGTGAGGTAGACTGTCAAAATCAAGTAGAAAGAAAATGGGGGCTGAGAAGATAGGGAAAAGAAGGAAAGAACCATGACAGGAGGAAAAACAGAATCAGCAAAAAGGCAACTAAAAAAACAACCAGGCTTATAGACATCAGTAATAATTAATAGAAATCTCATATTCACAACGTCTTGTCTAAAAGGACTTTGACTTAGTGGGATCCTTCATACATAAGGATAAGCAATATGTTGGCAATTTCATGGTTTATTACTGAAAGTAGAAAGAAAAGAAAAAGGCAACATGGTAACGAGAATAGGAAGAAGTGACGTTTTTTGAGGACATATGATGCCGAGACAAACACTTCCATACCTGCATAGGTAAAGCACCATTTTACTTCCTACAGAAATTCTTAAACCCATTCTCTATCTTATTGTACTATTTCTAATATAATGTAGTAATTATCATTTATTAATGCTTCTGAGTTCTTCATTTGTCTTCACTAAAACATATTGAGAGTGAGTTATATTATGCTAAAGATACAGAGAGGAAAGACAGATTCATAAGTAATTCATTCTTTTTTTTTTTAATATATTTTATTGATTTTTTTACAGAGAGGAAGGGAGAGGGATAGAGAGAGTCAGAAACATCGATGAGAGAGAAACATCAATCAGCTGCCTCCTGCACACTCCCCACTGGGTATGTGCCCGCAACAGAGGTACCTGCCCTTGACCGGAATCGAACCTGGGACCCTTGAGTCCGCAGGCCGAGGCTCTATCCACTGAGCAAAACTGGTCAGGGCTAAGTAATTCATTCTTAATATTCGTAGTTTGTATGGGATGAGCAAGTAAATAGATACTTAGAATGCAGGGTGATAAGACTGTAATAGAGGGTGCTATAGGAGTCAGTCCAGAAAAGATGCAGTCATCCCTGGGATATTTTGGGGGGAGGAAAGTGTATTGAGGCTTTCCTCCAAGAATGTGTTAGCTACCAAAAAAAAGGAAAATGAGGGCATTGCAGAAAGAGAAACACGTATGCAAAAGCAGAGAAGCATAATAATTACCTAGAAGTACAAGTTAATCTGAATGGAGTGTCAAGTACAAGAGGGGAATGGTGGAGAGTTGAGGCTGAAGTGGGAGGCTGGAGCTTGATTATAAAGAGGAAATTTATGTGCAATATTTATTTATCAAGGTAGGGAAATTTGATGCATTTTATAACATTCCAGTCAAAATGGTTAGAACTATTTCTTCAGTTAATGGCTCGAGTGTAATTATCCAGAATGCTTCATTACCCTACAGTTATGGAAAACTAAAGCAGTACTGTGCTTTCAAGTAATTGCCACATATATTTACATTAAAATTAAGTATTTTGACCAGTTTGCTTTAATTTCAGAGATTGCTTTGCATAAACCCACCCCTGTTTGAAATCTATCAAGTCTTACTAAGTCCAACACAACATCACATAGCACTTATAGGAATAAAAGGACTTATGGTATTAGAATTACCTAAAAGATGGGGGAAGAATTCTGAATTTGAAGGTGGAAAATCAACAGTGAATTGTAGGTAAGTTGTATTTCCATTTAGTTATCTTTTAATTTGTAATACATACAGAAAATTACTCAAGACCATTGGTTCTTAAGGTATGTTTACTGTGAATACTCCAGATGGTCTGCACATTGGCATCTTATAATAATGTTTATAGTATATGTGTGACTATACTTTTTATTCTTCCTGAATTATCACGTTGCTCTCTCAATAGAAGTCAGGCTATTTTTCAAGTAGGTAGAAATAAGGTGGTGTTTTTTTTAAATACATATTTTTATTGATTTCAAAGGGAATGGGAAAGGGAGAGAGAGAGAGAAACATCAATGATGAGAGAGAATCATTGATCCACTGCCTCCTGCACGCCCCCTACTGGGGATCGAGCCTGTAACCCAGGCATGTGCCCCGACCGGGAATTGAACCCTGACCTTCTAGTTCAGTGATGGCGAACCTATGACACGCATGTCAGAGGTGACAGGCAAACTCATTTTTTTGGTTGATTTTTCTTTGTTAAATGGCATTTAAATATATAAAATAAATATAAAAATATAAGTCTTTGTTTTACTATGGTTGCAAATATCAAAAAATTTCTATATGTGACACAGCACCAGAGTTAAGTTAGGGTTTTTCAAAATGCTGACATGCTGAGCTCAAAAGGTTCGCCATCACTGTCCTAGTTCATAGGTTGATGCTCAACCACTGAGCCACGCCCGCCGGGTGAGAAATAAGGTTTTTTGTTTGTTTGTAAAATATATTTTTATTGATTTCAGAGAGGAAGGGAGAGAGAGAGAGAGATAGAAACATCAGTGATAAGAGAGAATCATTGATGGGCTGCCTCCTGTAAGCCCCCTACTGGGGATCGAACCTGCAACCCAGGCATGTGCCCTTGACCGGAATTGAACCCGGCACCTTCCAGTTCACAGGCCGATACTCTGTCCACTAAGCCAAACCTGGTAGGGCGAGAAATAAAGTTTTTTAATAGCAGTTATTACCTATGAATCAGGCAGTTTGTTCATAAGTTCAATTAAGTTTTACTTTTGTATTATTTTTCAACAAACTCAGAAAAGTGAGAGTCTGAAAGATCTGTTGAAAAGAATATAAGATAGAAATCCACCTTTAGCTCTGTAATTTATAGGTTGGGTCCCTTTGAAGTATTTCTAAATTTCTATTTTCTCATTTCTACAATAGGAATGATAATATCTGCTCTTGTATTTTTCTTACAAGGTTACTAAAAAGATCAAATAAGGTAATATATCTGAAAAATACTTTTTATTTTGATTCTTTGATATTAATCGAGTAGGTGCTTTGAATACTCTCCTAGCAAGACTTAAGTGAAAGAAATTTGAAGGAAAGCAGAGCAAAGAGTGTTAAAATAGGTTTTTCTTTAGAAGGTTTTTCATCGAAGAGCTACAAAATGTTTTGGAAAATTGTTGTCTTTATTTTAGTACCACTCCAATTGCTGAGAGATTTTTCACCAGTTCTACCTCTCTGACTCTAAAGCATGCTGCCTGGTATCCAAGTGAAATGCTGGATCCCCACATAGTTCTGTTAACATCAGACAATGTAATAAGGTAAAGTTTATTTTTATGTCTTACAGCTTTGTGAATAGGGAAGTTCTGTTTCTGTTTTCCAGTTAATAGCTCAAGGTACCACTAAAGGGGTCCTTGGATGTTAGAATGCTTTGTCTGATGGCTGTTGTAGCCCCATTCTCAACATTCTAACTGCCCTAACTTACATGCCTTAATTACTGCTATTTCCTCTCAAAATCTTCCAGTCTCTCCTATCCTAATCTGACTTGTAAGCACTGATAAAATAATCTTCCACAAACTATTTTCTTTATGTCACCATTTTGGTGGTAATGTGACAGGAGAAAGAGAATATAATTGGGAATTGAGAGATTTGAATTCTTGTCCCAATGCCACTTCTGTTTTGAGATCTCAAGCTTCTTTATAGGGAGCATTAGTTTCCAGTTTATAAAATGAGCAGATTTAATCATTTCTAAAATCCCTTTCAGGTTTTGTACTCGATGATTAAATGCTCTAAAACTACAGATTTCTTTTATCAGTTAACTTTCTGTATCTGCCTTATGTAAAAAGTTGATGGGGAGATTCTACTAACTGAGATACAAATACCTCCAGTTTTATTTTTCTTAATCACTGCTTTTAACTGCTCTACCAAACCTTCCTTCTGTACTGAATGCTTGATCCCGTAATGGCACCTTATACAGATCTCATAGCTTTCTGGTTACTTTTAGGTATAAAAACTAAGTCTGTCCATTTAAAACTCCGATCTCAAATCTATTTCAAAACTATACTGGGCCTATCACAGGTCAGACCTTGAGGCATCTGAAATGAGTGGAGAGGGCATGATCTGCTCTTTGACTCACCTTGAGGTAGGGGTGAAGTATAAGGAGGGGGCTGCCTCCTCTGGGTGTAACTCCTTGATAGGGGGAGTAGGAAGCATGGGGTAGCTGAGGCAAACATCTTACCTAACTGTTTATCTGTCAGTGATGGGGCAGAAGGGTGGGGGACATATCCCTGATCCTAGATTAATTGAGTTCCACCTGCTGCTGGTGGCCTGTTGATGTGCTAGTCTCTGCACCAACGGGGTGTATGTGTTTTCTGGGGCAGCTCCCTCCATCATTAAGGAGCTGTCTCCCATTGGCTCTATTAGCTGTCCATGCCCTGAACCCACTCTCAAGAGTAGCCCCAAACTTGATATTCCTCCCTTCTCTACTTAAACTTTTTGGTCGTTCATATGGAGTCATGGTAACTGCCAAGATCCTTTTCCTTGCCCTCCAGGGACCACAGAGAACTGGGCATACTATCCCATGGTCCTTTCTTATGCTGTGCCAGCCTCCCTCCTTCAGATATGTTCATATTAGATACCACATAGTGATCACATGCCCCCAACCCTAGGATATGGAATGTCAGTTTTGCCCAAGAATTCCCTCTGTGGCCTGTAGTTTTCTGCAACACATCTGGCATTCAACTCAAATGAGATACTGATCTCCCTTTATTACAGGCACTCCTAAATCTCACTTTCTCTTAGAGCCTTCCCTGTCCACCCATTTGGTTTTGGAGTTGGGGATAAAGAAAGAAGGAGGGATTACCTCCCATTACAAATATTGTTCTGTACTCCTAAGGACTCTTGACACCCTCTGTCTTAGTCTTTTATGTATGCTGGAAAAGAAGACAGTGCGAGATAGTATAGTCTAGGCCAGTGATGGCGAACCTTTTGAGCTCGGCTTGTCAGCATTTTGAAAAACCCTAACTTAACTCTGGTGCTGTGTCACATATAGAAATTTTTTGATATTTGCAACCATAGTAAAACAAAGACTTATATTTTTGATATTTATTTTATATATTTAAATGCCATTTAACAAAGAAAAATCAACCAAAAAAATGAGTTTGCCTGTCACCTCTGACACGCGTGTCATAGGTTCACCATCACTGGTCTAGGCCTTCCTCACTTAAGCCTTAAAGGAAGTATCTGACCTCAATTATTAAAGGTTCTTTTTTAGACATGGGGTATTTAGCACTTCTCTTTTCCTAAGCTGTGTATTTTGTTGACAATTTCAGGGCAACAAGAAATTCCCACAATGTCTGTTGCATTTACTTTTTCACTATTCCCCATTACAATATATACTGTTTTGTGCTTATGTATATTTTGAAGTCAATAAAGTTTATAGGAAGACCACAATGAATGTGTGTTCAACTGGATCAAATTTTCATTTAAAATAGTTATTAGATGGTATTTTATTGGTAATGGAACAGACTAAGTTTTAAAATCCTTAGTGGGTCAGACAAAATAAGTGATTAATTTTGTTAATTTGTAAAAAGACTTCGTAAGAGACATTGGATTTCTAATAATATTACAGACCTTTTGAAAATTCTTTCTCCTTTTAACAGTAGCCATATATGCTGTGAAAATTTAAGTTATTTTAAATTAAAGTGATTTGGTAAAAATCTTTTTTTCAGTTTTAAACTTTCCTTGAGAAAATAGGGATGGCGTGATAGTTTTTATATCACAGAAACATGTATTGTAGGCTACACGTCACTCACTCTGCTGGTCAAAATAGTGAGATGTAGTTCCTTCTCTAGTGAGATTTGTTGTCTAACAGGCCGAGGAAGATGGGTATATTTGAAGGGAAGCTGGCAAACTTAGGGGCAGTAGTGAGATGACTAGACAAGGTAAGTATGGCTAAGGATTTAGGATGGAAGAGACAGGTGCAATGCCATGGAGTAGGCTAATAAAGAGTTTGGGTAAGGATGGAGAATATTTCTTCAGGTCCCAAGGAAACCTCCTAATGTTAAAGAACAAATGAAGTACCTACTTTGTCAGTAACAGCAAGATCTTTGACAAAGAAATGGTTGTGATAACTGGTAGGAAAATTCTCAAGAACTGACTAGATGTAGAAGAAAAGACAATTTTGGGAAATGAAAGAGAATTTTAAGTGCTGGCTTCCTTCTCTTTTGATTGTTAGAATTTACTCTCTACGTGAGCCCCAGACACCCACTAAGGTCATCGTACTTTCAGAAGCAGAAGAGGAAAGTCTAATACTCAATAAAGGGTAAGTTTTTATTTGTGTCATGATATGCTTTTCAAATTAGGTTATTGAGGTTATAAATGCAATTTTAATAGAGATTGCAAATTTTCCAGGGGTGACTTTAGCATGCTTTTGGTAAGGTGAGAAATAAGCAAAAGTAAGCAATGTGACTAAATAACAAGAAGTTACAAATCTGAATGTCTTTGTAACTACTAGCTTGATATGTTTTTCAAGAAAGTTTGGAAATGTGAGTGGCTGAAACTGACTCCATGTTGTATCTTGAATAATAGAATAAATTTTAATATTGCAAAGTACAGAAAAGGTGAAAGGTGAGAGTGTTGGGGTAGAGGCCTACCAGCTATTCACTCAGCCGATTGCTGAACTCCCAGACCAGCAACTAGTATCCCAGAACCTGGAGTGGAACATAGATAGCCCTTCTGATTCCCCTGTGACCCTGGCTTTTATGTTTTCTTATCCACTACAGAGGCAAGTTCCTGGCTACTTTGACCACTAACCCAGTCACTCTTGAACTCACAAACCCGATTCCTCTGGCCTCCTGATCAATCTTTCTGGTGATTACCACACATGATCACCTACAGTGTGTCTTTGTCTGTCAGACTTACTTCACTTAGCATAATACCCTCTCAGTTCTTCCATGTTGTTACAAATGGATTTCATTCTCTTTTTATGGTCGAGTGATATTCCATTGTATATATGTACCACAACTTTTTCATCCATTTGTCTATTGATGGGCACTTGAGATGCTTCCATATCTTGGCTATTACGTATGTACATAGGGGTGCATATATCTTTTTTGGTTTCTTTAGATAGAAACCCAGAAGTGGAATTGCTGGGTTTTTATTACCTTTTTTTTTTTTTTTTTGGTACTATTTTAAATTTTTTTAGGAACCTTCATACTCTTTTCCATAGGGACTGCACCAATTTGCAATCCTACCAACAAGGCCCAAGAGTTTTCTCCACATCCTTGCCTACACTTGTGGTTTATTGATTTTTTTGATGATAGCCATTCTGACAGGAGTGAAGTGATAACTCATGTGGTTTTAATTTCTCTGTTAATTAGTGACATTGAGCATCTTTTCATATGTCTGTGGGCCACCTGTATGTCATCTTTGGAGGGTTTGTTTAGGTCCTCTGGCATTTTTTAAATTGGATTTTTTTTTTTGTATTATATGTTAAGTTGTAAGAGTTTTTTATAAATTTGCGATATTAACCACATATCGTATGTATCTGGCTAATATCTTCTCCCAGTTGGTAAGTTGTCTTTTTGTTTTGCTTGTTTCCTTTGCTGTGTAAAAACTTTTTAGTTTTCCCTGGCCAGGTGGCTCAGTTTGTTGGAACATTGTTTGGTATACGAAAGGGTAGTGGGTTTGAGTCCTGGTCAGGCCACATACCTAGGATGGGGGTTAGATCTCCCTGGTCGGAGAGCATGCAGGAGGCAACCAATCTATATTTCTTTCTCACATTGATATCCCCCCCACCCCACCCGTCTCCCTTCCCTTCTCTCTCTTTCCCTCCCCCTTCCTCCCTCTCTCAAATCAATTTTTTAAAAAAAGTATCCTCAGGTGAGAATTTAAAAAAAAACCTTTTTAGTTTAATGTAGTCCCATTTGTTTATTTTTTCTTTGTTTCCGTTGTATCAAAAAATATATATATCACTAAGAGCAGTGTCAGAGAGTTTACTGCCTATGTTTTCTTCTAGGAGTTTTATGGTTTGGGGTCTTAATGTAAGTCTTTAATTCAGTTTATTATTGAACTGATGTTTGGGAATATTAAGAGCACAAATTGGGGTGTGTTCCTTCACAGAGGATTTTCATCAGCTTCTACTAGGAGTTAGAGGTTGCCACCAACCTGGGATCACTTTGATTCTCTTTGATAGCCCCAGAATTGAAAGTTTCAGTTAAATGATTCTAATGTCTTACAGCAGCAGCTACTTCAGTTTCAGTGTGTCCATCTCCACAATAGGGAAGTAACTGCCTCTGGGAGGGGATAGGCCCTGTTGTGGTGTCAGGACATTTTCTCCCCTGCGGTGCTTCCATAGCTTATACCTTCTTCTGACAGACACATGTCTAGATGAGAGGCAAGAGAGCCATGCAGCTGTTCAGAGCTTTGGCTCTGGTGTCAACACAACTAGCTTCTAATCTCAGCTCTTCCACTTGTCAGCTGTGGCATTTGAGCAAATTATTCAGTTGCATTAAGCTTCATTTCCATAACTATTCCACAGATATAAAAAATAATAATAGTCTGATTCCAAATCTTAGCTATTGTAAATTGTGCTGCTATGAACATAGGGGTGCATATATCCTTTCTGATTGGTGTTTCTGGTTTCTTGGGATATATTCCTAGAAGTGGGATCACTGGGTCAAATGGGAGTTCCAGTTTTAGTTTTTTGAGGAAACTCCATACTCTTCTCCACAGTGGCTGCATTATGCTAAGTGAAATAAGTCAGAGAAATATAAATATCACATGGTCTCACTCATTTGTGGATTATAATGAACGACATAAACCAATGAACAAAAATAGATCTAGAGACAGAGAAGCATCAATCAGATGCTCAAACCTCAGAGGGAAGGCAGGGGAGGGTGGGGCTAAGGGGGAGAGATCAACCGAAGGACTTGTATGCATGCACATAAGCCTAACCAATGGATATAGACACTGGGGGGTGAGGGCATGAGTGGGGGTATGGGGGGACAACGGGAGGATAAGGACACATTTGTAATACCTTAATCAATAAAGGGAAAAAAATTTTTAAAAATAATAAGCTAGGGTAGCAATACTTATAACAGACAAAAAGTAATAATAATAGTGCTCATTAGGATTATTGTGCAGAATAAATGAGATTATGCATTAAAAGTACTTAGCATGGGTCTTGGCACAGATAAGTCCTTATTAATTGATACCAATTATCATTATTAGATAGATAATTAGAAATATTACTAAATTTGATAAGTTCCCACTAAGTTTTAATGGCTTGGAAGTTTAAGTCTCTTTAATTTCTATGTCTGTCTGTTCCCATTTATTGTCTTAATTTTTTAGTTTAACTCACGCAGTTCTTTTATTCTGGATATTGGGATTTCTCATTTTTAGCTTCCTGATAACCATATATATACCTTTCCATGTGATAAAAAAAAACTATGATATGGTACTTATAATACCTTACTTAGAATGATGTTGATTATCATCTGTATGAAATTGTGGTTTTATTTTAACCATATTCATTAACCTTGTATTACTCTGGAATCTTTTTGAATAATCAATTACACTAAATTTTAAAATTATAAAAACAGCATGTTTTATCATTTATCTTTTCTGATTATAAAGATAATGTATAGCCCTAACCGGTTTGGCTCGGCGGATAGAGCGTCGGCCTGCGGACTCAGGGGTCCCAGGTTCGATTCCGGTCAAGGGCATGTACCTTGGTTGAGGGCACATCCCCAGTGGGGGGTGTGCAAGAGGCAGCTGATCGATGTTTCTAACTCTCTCTCCCTCTCCCTTCCTCTCTGTAAAAAATCAATAAAATATATATTTTTTAAAAAAGATAATATATATTTATTATAGAAAATTGGGAAAACTATAGTGAAGTATTAAGAAAATGAAATCTTTTGTAGTCTCCTATTGTCTGAACTCAATATAGCAACCAGAGTGATACTTTGGGTATAAATCAGATCATTCTATTTTCTTGCTCTCCACACTCCATTGACTGCCCCCTCTCCAGCTTCATTTCTCCCTCTGTGCCTTGGCTCTCTAACTTTAACCACCTTGGTCTCTTTGCCATTCCTTAGACACCATTAACCACCTTCCCACCTTAGAGCCTTGCATGTGTCCTTCCCTCTGCCTCAACTGCTCCTTCCCTACGTAACCCAGATGTGCTCTGTTGCTTCCTTAAAGTCTCAAGTATCCTCTTACCAGAATCCTTTCAGACCACCTCCTCTAAAAAACAGCACCTCCATCAATAACCTCTTACCCTCCTTTATTTTTCTTCATAGCATCATTTTCTGACTTTGTGTTATGTGTTTACTTCTCTGTTGTAGGTCTCTATTACTAAAGAGCAGGTCCTTGTTTAATTCACTGGTGTATTCCTAGAACTTGCAACAGAACCTGGCACAGAGCAGATACTTAGTAAATATTTGTGGAGTAAATGCATCCTACTATTCAGGTGTAACTATTGATGTTTTCATGTTTTCTTCCTGTTTCTTATTTGTGTTTGTGCATATCTCTATGTGTATATTTTTATTATTTGTGTGTCTTTATAATTAAAGTAGCATTATATAATTTTATGGCCTTCTTCACTTAATTTTATGAGGATTTTCCAATGTTGCTTCACATTCTTTATAATCATAGTTTTTTGGTATTCTCTATTGGTTGACTACACTTCCATCCCATCTCCTATTATTGGACATTTTGATTTTTTTTTTCAACAAGTTGGTTTTTAAATCTCTTTTCAGGAGGGCATATACTGCATCTCTAGGAGAAACAGCAGTTGCATTTGACTTTGGGCCATTGGCAGCCATCCCGAAGAATATTTTTGGACAAAAAGGCAAAGATGAAGTAGTGGCATACCCACTGTACATCTTATATGAGAATGGGGAGACTTTCCTTACATATGTTAGTCTGTTACACAGGTAAGTTGAGGAGGTGACCCATCTAAATGAAAGCCCAGCTTGTGCTCCAGTAGAGATTGTCATAGTTCAACTTATTTACTTATTTATTGTCATAGTTGGAGTTATTTATTTATTTATTTATTTATGTGTTTATTGCCATGGTTTGATGTGGGATCTGTTTTTGAATTGTGGAAGGTGTTGCTTGGCTTGCACCATTTGGAGAAAGATCTGGTACAGATCATAGGACCTTTCATTTATTCATATTAATATGGGAAAATGCGATAGTATTCTTGGATAATCACTTAAGATAAGACTGAATTTGTTTTCACAAAGTGTAGTCAACCAAAAAAGCATTTATTGTGTATCATATATGAACAATATATTGTGGGGGTGGTTAGACATGGTAATCTGGTGTCTTATGTCCCAGCTGTGGGAAAAAGACATACATACACAAGAAAAGATAATTACCACATCAGTACAAATACAGTAAGAACCCAGAAGAAAGAGAGATTATTCTGATTGAAGAAGTTACAGAAATTTTCATAGAGAAGCACTGATGTTATGTGGGACTTAAAGGTCTAATGCGGGATTAAATGAAGCATCAAGAAAGGGTAAGAGCATTTTAATTACCGGGGAAGCATGAAGTGTAGAGTATGAAAGTAAAAAATGCAAGTGTCATTCAAGGTTCAATGAGACATTTGGGGCTAGAGGAGAGGATTCTGGTAGGGAAAATTAAATGATAAAGCTAGAAATATCTGCCAAGGGAGAAGTTGATGGATTTAAACACTTAGTTAAGGAATGTGGGTCTTTTCTGTAGGAATGGGGTAGTAAGAATGTAGTGATGGTTTCTCAGCAGGAGAAGATAAAATAATTGGTTAGGGAAGGGACTGGAGCAGAGAGACTTTTTTAAAATTTTTTTTTTTTATTACTAATTTCAGGGAGAGGGAGAGAGATAGAAACATCAATGATAAGAGAGAATCATTGATCCGCCACCTCCTGCACGCCCCACACTGGGATCGAGCCTGCAACCCAGACATGTGCCCTGATCAGGAATCAAACCATGACCTCCTGGTTCATTGGTCGAAGCTCCAACACTGAGCCACACTGGCCAGGCATTTGTTTTTGTTTTTCAGAGAGACTTTTAAAGAAGCTGTTGTAAAATTTATCTTAAAAGTCTACAAGAGTTTGAACTGCGATGGTTGTAATGCAAAGGGAGAAATGAACATAGCAGATACTACAAAAGAAGGATCAATAAGACTTAGTTATTGTTTGGATATGGTAGTGAGCCATTAATAAATACTGAGATCAGGAAGGGCAGCTAATTTGGGGGAAAGAGGACATAATAGAATTGTACACCTGAAACCCATATAATTTTATTAACCAATATCACCGCAGTAAATTCTTTTTTTTTTTTTAAGTAGTTACAGGGAAGAGAGAGAGAGAATGCAAAATTATAAAGATGAGAAAAACTAAAGAGCTTGATAGATTGCAGAATGGTAAGGCTTCACTACTAATTGCATTTTCCTTGACAGAAGTATTCTCTGCCTTCCACACATGATCTCTCTCAGGAGACTTGTGTAACATTATTACTCTCTCCCTCATTTGTCTACACTATGATCTACCTAATAATCTTATTCCCAAACCTAAAAGTCATCTACATTATCTTACATCAGTCCAGTTCCAACATTCTATTGATTTTAACATGAAAATTTCTTGATACATCCTTCTCTCTATTCCCTTGTCCTTCCTTCAGACCCTCATCATCTTCTGCCTGGGTCCTTCTTAAAGGTTCTCTCCATGTCATTCTCCTTACTACTCTCACTACCAGATGAATCTTAGTAGAGTGAAGCTCCATCCCTCTTGATTTAAACCTCAAGCGACACACTGTCCCCCAGCAGATAGACTCTGCGCTCTCTAACATGCCATAGAGATCATCTGCTTTGTAAGCCAGTCCTGAAAATCTGCTTCACTTCTTTGTTGCCTTAGACTTTGTACTTCGCCTCCCATCACACTAAGCTCAGTTTCCTTCTTGCTAATTCCTTGTCTTTCATGCCTCAGGACTTTGTATATGCTGCTCCTTAGCTTGGGGTGTTTACCACCCCTTCCCAGAATATACTTTCTCCACTGATCTGACTGTGATGCCATTTTTATACACCTCACTTTTTTTGTACCTTTCTGTATTTCTCAGTAAAGCTTTTGTTACACTTACTAGTATCACATGGTAGAGTAATTCTGGTTAAATGTCAGTTCTGTGGGGGTGTCATGTAGCTCTCAGTAAATGTATTTATCTAATTCAATTAAATATGTGGGTCTGGAGCCCCGAAGATAAGCAACATTTCAGAAGAAAAAAGTTGAGAGTCATCAGAACAGAGATAATAGTTAATGGTTTAACATGCTGTCATGTATGTATATTTTGAAAAGAGAATAAAGCTTACAGCACCAATATTTTTTCACCCAAATATGTTTCACTCTTTCTGTAGCCCTGGGAATATCGGAAAGCTGTTAGGTCCATTGCCTATGCATCCTGCGGCTGAAGATAACTATGGTTATGATGCTTGTGCTATACTCTGCCTACCCTGTGTCCCCAACATCTTAGTGATTGCTACCGAGTCAGGAATGCTCTATCACTGCGTTGTGCTGGAAGGCGAAGAAGAAGATGACCAAACAGTAAGTCAGCCTAGTGTGTGTGCACATTTGTATCTCTGGCACCTAGTTTACATCCTGTACCAACATAAATGCTTAGATGAGGAATTTCATTTGTTATCTGACACCTCTATATATTTTGGTTATTGAACGAAGTTAATCTTAAAAATTTAAATGGGAAGAAGTTAGAAGGTGCCCAACTTACTTGATCCACCAACCTACATATTTCTTTCTTAACTCTACCAAATTGGCAATCTTCGGTGACAAATATAAAGAACTTTGAGTCACTGATTTAGCTCTTCTCTGAACTTGCTTATTCCTGTCTTTCTAAAAGAAGGGAGACTTTTTTCTCTTTGAAGACTATAAAGACACTGTCAGAATAGGGGGTGGAATTAAGAATTTGAAAGCACTATTTGATCCAGCTTTTTGCTTTTGTTTTTCATTGTGTACATTTTCACATAGACATGAAAGACTAAAAATAGGCTTTTTTTTACAGTCAGAAAAGTCCTGGGATTCCAGGACCGACCTCATTCCTTCTCTGTATGTGTTTGAGTGTGTGGAGTTGGAGCTTGCCCTGAAACTGGCGTCTGGAGAGGAGGATCCCTTTGATTCCGACTTCTCTTGTCCAATCAAACTTCACAAAGGTAAAGTATTTTTTTCAATTACAGTTTACATTTTATTTATTTTATATTAGTTTCAGGCGGTTAGAAAAGACACCACACCCGCCCCTAATAATTCTAGTACCCAATTGGCACATAGTTATTACAATATCATCATTATTATTTATTTTTCTGTTTACATTTTTAAAAATTGATGACAGTATTACGGAAGCCCCCCAGGTTCCGGCCTTTGCCCCTGTCCACCCAGTCTCCCTTCCTCCACCTTAGACCTTCCCTGCACTATTTTCTGTGTCCATAAGTTATACATATATGCATACACTAGTATATTCTTTGGTTAATCTCTTCCCATCCCTCCGCCCCCACCTCCCATTTGAGATCTGTCATTTTGTTCCATGCATCCATGCCTCTGGACCTATTTTGTTCATCAATTTATTTTGTTCATTAGATTCCACATATAAGTGAGATCGTGTGATATTTATCGTTCTTTAACTGGCATATTTTGCTTAGCATAATAATGTCCAGGTCCATCCATGGTGTCACAAAGGGTAAGAGCTCTGTCTTTTACAGCCACATAGCATTCCATTGTGTAAATGTACCACAGCTTTTTTTTTTTTAAAGAATAGTTTAAAAAACATTGATTTTTAAGAGATAGAGGAATGTAGAGCAAGAGAGAAACATCCATCTGAGAGCGTAACATTGATCAGCTGCCTCCTGCACACCCTGTACTAGGGATCAAGCCCATAACCTGGGCATGTGTCATTGACCAGGAGTCAAACCGGCAACCTTTTGGAGCACGGGATGATGCTCAACCAACTGAGCCACACCAGCCAGGGTGTGTACCACAGCTTTTTTATCCATTCATCTACTGATGGGCACTTGGGCTGTTTCCAGATCTTAGCTATTATAAATAATGCTGCTAGGAATATAGGGGTGCATATATCCTTTCTGATTGGTGTTTTGGAATTCTTACGATATATTCCCAGAAGGGGATGTCTGGGTCAAACAGCAGTTCCATTTTTAATTTTTTGAGGAACCTCCATACTGTTCCACAGTGGCTGCACCAGTCTGCATTCCCACCAACAGTGTACTAGGGTTCCCTTTTCTACACATCCTCGCCAGCACTTGTTTGTTGCTTTATTAATGGTAGCCATTCTGGCAAGTGTGTACAATATTATTGATTATACTAGAGGCCCGGTGCATGAAATTCATGCACGGGTACGGTCCCTAGGCCTGGCCTGTGATGAGGGCCGATCATGTTCCCCACCCCCCCACCTCCCTGCCTCCTCCTTCCCTGGCTCCCTCAGCACCCCGCCGCTGGTTGCCTACTATGTTCCGTGCCACCCCCCGGTGGTCAGCGCACATCATAGCGAGCGATCGAACTCCCATTCTCCCGGTCAAACTCCCTAGGGGACACTTTGCATATTAACCTTTTATATATATAGATTCCCTATACTTTACTTTAGATACTCATGACTATTCTATGACTACCAATTTGCTTTTCTTCATCTCCATCTTTTTCACCCATCCCCCTCCCCTCTGGCAACCCTCAGTTTATTCTCTTTATCTATGAATCTGTTTCTGTTTTGTTTGTTCTTTACAGTCCACATCTAAGTGAAGTCATACAGTATTTGTCTTTTTCCGCCTTACTTCACTTAGCATAATACTCTCTCAGTCTATTCATGTTGCCAAAAATGGTAAGATTTTATTCTTTTATGGCAAGTAATATTCCATTGTATTTATGTACCACATCTTCTTTATTTCATCATCTATTGATGGGCATTTGGGTTGCTTTCATATCTTGGCTATTGTAAGTAATACTGCAGTGAACATAGGGGTGTATATATTTTTTCAAATTAGTGTTTTGGCTATTCACTAAATTTAATTCTTTTATTTTATTGTATTTATACTAAAACTGTCATAGACTGTCCCTGTATAATTTATTTGTTCTGTGGTTCCAGGCTTTAAAAATTAGACTGGCTTCTTTTGTCCTTTTAGTCATATATTACTCTTTAGATCCAAGAAAGACTGAGCAAATTTTCCAAGTTTGAAAATAGTGGTCTTTAGTCTGGATCTACCCACATTTATAACAGTGAATTTTTCCTGGTTCAGTCAAAGGTAGATATTTCATGCTTCAAATACTTAAGGATATACAAACTTTAATAAACTTTAAAAAATCAAATTATAATATACTGATATTAAGATAGCTCTTTAAAATATCTTTCATTTTTTAGAACACATCTTGTTATAATCAGATCCAGTTTGAATGTTACCCTTTTTATCTTTTGTTTTAATTTACCTGGTTGGTTCCAGATCATTCTGGCAACTTATCTCTGTTTACCTAGGGAGGTCTTGGATAAACAGATGAGACAGTTAAAGAGCATGTTGTTCAGAGTGGCTGAGTGGAAAGAGAGTGTGACTAGAAGTCTGGAGTGTCCTAGGTTTTAGTTACAGCTCTAACATTAATAGGCTCTATAGTAGTGGACATTTACTCAACCTTGGTCTTCAGTTTTCTCGTCTGAAAACAACAGGGATAACATCAAATGATCTTTAAGTTCCCTTCTAACACAAAAATTCTGTAATTTTATTTGCCCCTCCACCCTTTCTCAGTCTCCTCTAGATCTTGTCTTCTCAGTGAAGAAGGAGGAACAAAAGCTTATTCAGCCTGGAATAACTAGGTGTATCTTTCAAAATTTTCTTCTGTGCAGTGTGGAGAGAGGGAGTTCAGTCTTAGAGCAGCCTGATTTAATCTGCTTAGAGTCCCACTAACCATTTTGGGTAGGTTTGGTAATAATGACTTTGACTCTGTATTAAAGTATAGCCAAAACATTTAAGGGGTCTTTATATAATAAACCAGGAAAGAGAACTCATTGGGTATGTCTAATTAAACAGTATTGGGAGAGATAGTCTAAATATATTAAGTCTTGGAACTTTGCTTTATAGATGAGGAAATTGAACCTATAAGGTAAAGTAATATAAACTAATTGGTTTCCTTATAAAGCTACATATGTGCCCTGGCCAGCTAATTCAGTTTGTTAGTGTCATCTTGATACACCACGGTTGCGGGTTCAATCCCTAGTCAGGGCACATACAAGAATCAACCAGTGAATGCATAAATAAATTGAGTAACAAATTGATGCCTTTTCTCTCTCTCTCTCTTTCTTCTCCCCCCGCCCCCAAAGTCAGTCAATTTTTTAAAAGTTAAAAAAAAGGTACAGATGTGTATCTTTGGGAAATCTTAAATGTAGGCATTGTTATCGTAGTTCTTCTGAGAATTAACATTCTCATATGTGAAACTAATTCTTGACTTGTTCATAATTGTATGTAAGGTATATTACAATCACTGAAACATTCATATTTTTAATGACATAAGTGAAATAACTACATATAACATGTTGGGGGGTATCTAAATTTCCTACTTCAGATATTAATGTTACCTTTTTTCATAACAGATTCCTGTTACATCCCAATATTAACATTTTTCTGACTTTAGCACAACAGACACATTTTGAAATGCCATTCTACACGATAGCAGACCTGATGATTTGAGCCTTACGTCTCAAGTATGGGCAGATGAAAAGAAGCTTTTCAATATTTATTGTTCAGAGAAATGATTGCCATAGACCAGGAATTTTTAAACTTCTTACAGCACAATGCTTTTTTCAGAGTATTATGCAGAACCCCAGCATATAAAACAAGATAATAATAATTTAACATCCACTATACAACATGTACATACTATAAAGTCAACAGTAAGAAAGTGAGGCTGTCTGATAAAAGAAATTTTTAATTTAGGGGCTTATGGATGACAGTTACCATCTTAAATCAGCTTTAGTGTATACTTATTTCTATATCTTGATTTAGTTATCTACTATTTTTAAAATCTTGAGTCACAGAAATATATATATATATATATATATATATATATATATATATATATATATATATGGCTAATATGCTAAGTGTTCGTCTGGGTAATGATGTCATGTAGCAACGCCTGGCTTCCTCTCCCTAGCGACAACTAGCCTCCTTGGAGTTTCTTCAGCCCAGGAATATGACTTGCTTTATAGCCAGGTACAAATATTTCACACTTTAACCAAATGTCTGTGAAGCATTTTCCCGTGCCTCATCTCATTTGATCCTCACAGAAGTCTTGGAGTAGGTAGATAGGAGACTCAGTAGAATCCTATTTTCTTTTCATTAGCCAGAAAACAGAAATTTAGAAAGTTTAGAAACTTGACCCGACTGAATAGAAGAAATGATGGACCTTGAAAATGACTTCAGGTTTTCTCACTGCGCAGAATATAGTCAAACACTGCTGCAGTTAAATATTTTACCCTTTGTTCTCCCTGCGTGATCTACAATAATAATCTGCTTTGTGTTGATATTTACTGCTGTGTTGCTGACAATTACCTGAAAGAGAAGTTGGGGTGCTTCACTGGGCTGGAAAAAGTTTAGCTAAATCAGAAAGCAGGTCTAATTAAGCAAGTTTATTCTATATCTATAAAAGGCTAAGTTGACTAGTGCATGTGCAATACATATAAAGCTCTCACTGGCGTAAATTGCATGCGTGTGTTTCCATCTCTCATTGTTGATCATGAATTTGATTGACACTTCTATTATAGAGAAAGGGCGAATAGCGATATTAAAATATTTCTTCTAATTAATTTCCTTTAAATGTGCATAAATTCGTGCACTGGGCCACTAGTTTGTAAATAATAATCAGTATTTAAGAGCTCCTCTTTTAGTCTCAGAATGGTCTTACTAATACTAGGGCTCAAAAGAAGTATAGAAAATTTCATTAAAATTACATAACTGATCATATAATTTTTTTTTTAATTTATTGATTTTTTACAGAGAGGAAGGGAGAGAGATAGAGAGTCAGAAACATCAATCAGCTGCCTCCTCCTGCACATCTCCTACTGGGGATGTGCCCGCAACCCAGGTACATGCCCTTGACCGGAATCGAACCTGGGACCCTTCAGTCCGCAGGCCGACGCTCTATCCACTGAGCCAAACCGGTTTCGGCGATCATATATTTTTTAAAATATATTTTTATTGATTTCAGAGAGGAAGGGAGAGGGAGTTAGAGAGAAACATCAATAATGACAGAATCATTGATTTGCTGCCTACTGCACATCCCCTACTGGGGATCGAGCCTGCAACCTGGGCATGTGACCTTGACCGGGAATCAAACCTGGGACCCTTCAGTTCACAGGCTGGTGCTCTATCAACTGAGCCAAACCAGCTAGGGCACAGCTGCTCATATTTTTTAGTATAAATATAAGTGATTGTCAAACAAAAATTGGAAGTAGAACTTAAAATAAACTTAAAAATTATCTGTGGATCAACATTATCAAGACAAGTAAAGCTTTACCTTTCATACCTGCCTTACTGTCTTATGACAGAACTATTTACTAACCAGTTGTACTGAAGTCTTTTAGTGTACCTGTACTATAGGAGTGCACTTGCTTCACCAATTTCATGTAAGTAGATGTATGCATAAGTTTTCTGCAGACCTATCCTAGTCATTTTATTTTGAACACCTGTAAATAAATGCACAAAAATAAACAGAAAGGCATAAATGATTACCTGGTAGCAAGTGTTTATATTTTGGTGAACTCTATTGTGTTAATATTTAGAAAATAATGCATTTGCATTGTGTTTATTCATCATACTTTTTAAAACACCTAAAATATATTTGAAAGTTAAATTCAGATTTTAAAATTTCAAAAACCCCCTAACATAGTGTCATAATAAAAATGTCCTGTTGATCTTCCATCATTTTCATCAGAAAACGTGTTTTGGGCTGCTGGGGTGAATATTTTCAGTTTTCCACTGGCTTTCTTTATATCATTAATGATTCCATTTGCAGATCCCAAGTGTCCCTCAAGATATCACTGTACTCATGAAGCTGGTGTACATAGTGTTGGACTAACTTGGATTCATAAACTTCATAAATTTCTTGGATCAGGTGAGTTTTCTGTGCTTTTCAGTATGTTTCACGGATCCTATTAAAAAGTAGTTTAGAAAAACCCTGGCCTTTGTGGTTCAGTTGGTTGAGCATTATCCCATGCACCAAGAGTTCGTCGGTTTGATTCCTAGTCAGGACATATGCTCAGGTTTCAGGCTGGCTCCCCAGTAGGGGGCATGCAAGAGGCAGCCAATCATGGATTCTCATCATTGATATTTCCATCTCTTCCCTTCCTCTCTGAAATCAATAAAAACTTTATTTTTAAGTAGTTTGGAATAGAAAAATAATTTTGGAGTAGAAAATTAATGAAACCAAAAGTTGGTTCTTTGAAAAAAATTAACAAAGTTGACAAACCTTTAGCCAGTCTGAGCAAAAATAAAAGAGAGGACTCAAATTATGACAGTTAGGAATGAAATAGGGGTATTACTACTGATCTTTCAGAAATAGAAAAGATTATAATAGGATACTATGAACAGCTGTATGCCAATTAGATAACTTAGATGAAATGGACAAATTTCTAGACAGACATTACCAAAACTGACTCAAGAAGAAGTAGAAAATTTGAATAGACCTATTCAAGTAAAGAGATTGAATTAGTAAACAAAACTACCTAAAAAGAAAAGTTCAGGACAAACTGGCTTCACATCTTACCTAATAATAGACAAACATGCAAATTGACTGTACCTTCGCTACACCTTAAGCCACGCCCATCAGCCAATCAGAGCAACTATATGCAAATTAACCCAACCAAGATGGCGGCCAGCAGCCATAGAGCTGGAGCAAGCAGGAGACTTGGTTACCCCAATGATGGAGGAAGCCAAGCTTCCCGGAGGCTCTGAGCTCCACTCAAAGCAACAAAGTTTCAATTATAGAAGGTAAATAAACCCCAGATACCTGCTTCCAGTCGCCATGGCCATGGAGCTGGAGTGAATAAAAAAACAAAAACAAAAAAATGAAAGGCTGGGAGCTTCGGTCGCCAGGGGGCTTGGTCAGTCTGAAAACAGACATCAGCCCCTCACCCAGGCTGGCCAGGCACCCCAGCAGGACCCCCCTCCCTGAAGGGGGTTTGGGCAGCCTGAAAACGGCCCTCAGCCCCTCACCCAGGCTGGCCAGGCACCCCAGTGGGGACCCCCACCCTGACCCAGGACACCCTTAAGGGCAAACCAGTCGGCCCCCACCCGTGCACCAGGCCTCTACTCTATATAATAAAAGGGTAATATGCAAACTGACCCCAACAGCAGAACAACTGGGAATGACTTGTCACTATGACACACTGACCACCAGGGGGCAGATGCTCAATGCAGGAGCTGCCCCCTGGTGGTCAGTGCGCTCCCACAGGGGGAGCTCTGCTCAGCCACAAGCCAGGCTGACGGCTGCCAGTACAGCGGTGGTCATGGTGGGAGCCTCTCCCGCCGCCTCAGCAGCACTAAGGATGTCCAACTGCGGCTTAGGCCTGCTCCCTGTTGGCAAGTGGGCATCCCCCGAGGGCTACCGGGCTGCCAGAGGGATGTCTGACTGCCAGCTTGGGCCCAATCCCCCAGGGAGCGGGCCTAAGCCAGCAGATGGACATCCTCCGAGGGGTCCCAGACTGCAAGTGGGCATAGGCTGGGCTGAGGGGCCCCCTGAGTGCACAAATTTTTGTGCACTGGGCCTCTAGTTTAAAGAATAAATATCAATTATTCATAAGCTCTTCCAAAAAATAGGAGAGGAACACTTTCTAACTCACTCTATGAGGTATTACCCTGATGCCAAAACCAAACAAAGATGTCAAGAAAACTACAGACAAATATCTCTCATGAATATGAATAGAAAAATCTTCGACAAAATACTAGCAAACCAAATCCAGCAATATATAAAAAGCATCATATACCATGACTAAGTGGGATTTATCCCAGGAATGCAAGAGTAGTTTAATACCCAGAATTCAATCCATGTATTATATACCATAGCAATAGCATAAAGGACAAAAACCATGATTATCTTAATAGAGAAAATGCATTTAAGAAAATTTAATAGCCTTTCATGTTAAAAACTAGAGGCCTGGTGCACAGATTCATGAATGGGTAGGGTCCCTCAGCTTGGCCAGCTGTGGGGAGGGACCGCAGGAGGTTGGCTGTGGGAGTGTACTGACCACCAGGGGGCAGCTCCTGCGTTGAGCATCTGCCCCCTGGTGCTCAGTGCACATCATAGCTACTGGACAGTCATCCGATCCTCTGGTCGTAACGGTCACTTAGGCTTTTATATATATAGATACTCAACAAACTAGTAATAGAAAGGCACTTCCTCAAACGGATAAAGGGCAACTGAAAAATCCACAGCTAACGCCATACTTCATGGTGAAGACCAAGTGCTTTCTGTATTAGCTTTCTATTGCTGCTATTATAAATAGCCATAAATGGCTTAAAACAATAAAAATTTACCCTGGCTGGTGTGGGTCAGTGGTTAGAGCACCAGCTTGCAAACCAAAGGGTCACAGGTTCAATTCTCAGTCAAGGGCAGATACCTAGGTTGTGGGTTCGATCCCCAATCTGGGCACATGTGGAAGGCAGCCAACTGATGTTTCTCTAACCACCCACCTCCTGCCCTTCCTCCCTTCCACTCTGAAAAAAGAAAAAAAATAATGGAAAAAATATCCTCACATGAGGATTAACCAAAAAAAAAAAAAAAAAACGGTTTGACAAGAACTTAATTGCTTTTAATTAATATTGTCAGCATTTTAATTTGGAGACATTTGTGCATCAGTTAACTTGTGTAATGTGATAATGTGTTCCTTTGTAGATGAAGAAGATAAGGATAGTTTACAGGAACTTGCTACAGAACAGAAATGCTTTGTGGAACACATCCTTTGTACAAAGCCATTGCCATGCAGGTAAGAACCAACTCCTTGTCTACACAGGTAACTGTTGTTTGCCCCAGTAATCCAGATACATGTATGCATCACACTCACATGCAACTCACCCCTAAGAGTATCAGTTCATCCATGATCATCTGGAGCTCCCCGGTCTCAGGACCCTCACGTACTGTGTCCTCTCTCTGGAAGTCTTGTCCCAATTGCAGCTGTAGTTCGCTGTCTTCACTGGGCTAACTCTACTGGTTCTTCCTGATCTTAACTTAGTACCAGTTCTTCAGAAGGGGCTCCTCGATTCCCCAGTCTAACCTCAGGTTCTCCTCTTATTCCGCCGTTTTCTCTATAGTACATTAAAGGTGGCGTCTGTATTTGTTTAATGTCTGTCACCACTGCTAGAGTATGTTTCAGGAGAGCAGAGACCGTATCTGTGTCCTGCCATTTACTGTCCCTCCTGTTGGCATACTCGCTGTCTGACGTGCCTAGCGGGTGTTCAGTCAATATTTGATGACTAAATAAAGGGAAATGTCTAGAATGACTCCCAAGTTCCTACTTGGGATAACTGGGTAGATGTGGTCCCCTGAAGACACGTGGGACATAGGAGAAAGTTAAGTTTGGGAGGATGGAGACATGTTAATGGGGGCACTTGGAGTTTTCTGTTCCTGTGGCACATCCAGGTGGAGGCACTCAGTAGGCTGTTGGCCATGTGTCTCTGGTGTTTGGATGATCTGGGCTAGAACAGTATGGATGTGGGAATTGTCAGCTTTGGAATGTGTCTATGGTTAAGGTTACTCAGAAAGGAGCCTAGCATGAGTAGAGACCTGTGAAGAGAGTCTGAGCAACACTTTCTCACAGTCGGTGAGTCAGGATAGAGGAGCCCAGCCAAGGAAGGAAACTCGAGTCCAGGGCTGCCAGAAAGACTACAGGAAACCTGAAGGAAAAGATGTCAGGATGCCAGGGAGGTGGGTGCCTCAGGGAGCAGGCAGTGGGCAGCAGCAGGAAGGAGTCAGGAGTCTAGACTTGGCAGTACAGGGGCTTCATCTGGAACTGGAAGGGAAACAATCATAGGTGGGGGAGGAGAGCACCAGAGTGAAAAGTGAACAGGGAAAAGAGAGAATAAAATTCCACTTACTTACATTTCAAAAACAGGAGGTAAAATTAAACAGGTAAAAGTACCGCCTAGGAAGGAATACATAGAAAACTATGAAGCAAAGCAGGAGCGTGAGTATCATAAAAGTCAGAATAGTGGTGACTGCTCTAAGGAGTGGAAGGCTGGATCGGGTAGCATCAGCGCCCTGGTAGCGGCAGCATTCTGATTGGTGACCTGGATAGTGGTTACAGAGTGTACGTATGCACTCTTCTGTGTGTAGATTTCACACTGAAAATATAAAATACAAAATTTTTAACCTCCCAGACTCCCCCTTACCTACCTCCCCTCTAATAGGTTACAATTTAAAGTCTGTTGATTCTAAAGAGAAGGGAAGACAAACTATGTTAGGGGGAGCTTGAAATTACAGTGGGGAGAGTTTTGAATGAAGAGACATGAGCATGTTTGTAAGCAGAGGGTAGACAATAGGAGATTTTGAAACTACAGAGTTGAGATCAGAAGAGGTGAGAGGAAGTGGCATTGTCAGTCCAGGGCGGAAGTGTGCTGTGGGGGTGGGATGAACATTGGGGCAGGTGGAGTAGCCTGTTGGCAGGAAAGACATTTCCTCCAGTGAAATAACCAGGATTAAGAGGGAGATGCAAGCCGTGCGCAGAAAATGAAGTCCTGTGACAGGTGTTGGGCTGCCTGGGATTTTTCATGTGAGATAGACTGAATTCAGTCAGTAGTTTCTGAGCACTTAATCTGGGCTAGGCAGAGACAGCTGGGGCTTCTGTGCAAGTTGGGGAGAAAGACACGTATAACTTCATGGAATCATGGTAACTGCTGAGGTTAGTGCGCATCATGAGGCTCTGGGTTCCTGAGTGACTTATAAGTCAAATGGCCTCTAGGCTGCTAAGTGACAGCATGTTTCAAACCAGTCAAAGCTGTGAGTATTACAGGTTTCCAGGTCAGCACCTTTGAGGTTACTGCACTAAGAGCAGGTCCCAGGCAACTGATAGCCCAGCCAGAGAAGGCGGCGAACCTCAGCCATGTCATTCATTACACTTGGATCCACTGCGGTTGCCATTTCATAACTTCCCTGTGCCTGTGTGTGTTTCCAGGCAGCCAGCTCCCATTCAAGGGTTCTGGATTGTCCCTGACATCCTGGGGCCCACGATGATCTGCATCACCAGCACCTATGAATGCCTCATAAGGCCTTTATTGTAAGTACTTTTTTGTGTTCCCCACACAACTTGTTAATTCTGCAAGATCTAAACTGGGAAAATGCCCTTAGAAACAGCTTGAAGGTACTTGGATTATGCTTTGGCTTCTTATGAGGGTTGGAAAGATAGAATAGGATTAGTTTTAGGCATGATATCTTCTCTGGCTACCTGAGAGTCAAGAGCTTTACTTCAAAGTATGGGAAAGCATACTAAAATAGCGAACTCCATTAATATGAATTATATTCAATGATTATCATGTTCTAACTATGTGCCAGACTTAAAAGTAAGGCAGTTACATGCATTTTCTCCTGTAACCAAAGCGACCCTGTAAGGACCACACTATTATTCCCATCTTGTAAAAGGAAACAGGGCTTTCTCACTCCCAAGGCCATGCTCACACTTTAACTTCTCCATTTCTGCCAGGCTCAGAGGGACGTCATAGACTGTGTAACTCTGGAAGTCTGGTGGTATATAGCTGAGCTCGTAATCTTCCTTCTTAAAGCACTCGTGTGAAGCTATAAGCGCTGTGTGGTTGTTTTGTTTTTCCAGCAACCCTGGAATGTCATTCTGGGTTTTATAAATGCAGGAATAAGCCACCGGTGTTGAACACTGGCACCCCCCTTCCTGAGTCTCCTGGTGTCATTTCAAAGCATGTACTTTTAGATACTGACACAGTTTGAAATACTGCCATTAATTTACTCTCCTTCAAGGAACTCCCATGCTCTTTGAAGATTGGTAAGTTACACTATTTGGAAAGCAAAAGAACTCTTATCAATTTTGTATTACTTACACTAAAAGAGACTAAAAACTCTAGCAAGAATAAACATAATAAAATCCCTGAAAAAATTCCTTTTTGCCTTTTGCCTCAAGCATATTTTTAAAAACCCATCCTACCTTTAGTGAAATAAGACCTACACAGTGGGTTACTTCAGAATAAAAATGTGAATCTCGGAGGAAAAGAAAACTGAAATGTTAAGTTATCTAGATACATTCAAATCATGTTTTCTGCTAACTCCCTAAAATACAGGTTGTCTATAGTGTAATATTGTTAACAAACTCCCAGATTATTGTTGCATTCAGAGTAAGTCGCTCACCATGGTGTTAACTTTTGCAGTCTTTCAAGCTTTCTGAAATTGCCATTGTGAATATTTGTAATACTCGAGTGAATGTAATTTTTATAAGTCGTTATATATAGAGAGTAAGTACAGTATTTAGTGGTTATCTGGGTGAATATTGGTTTTGATCAAATCCAAACTGTACCTAGGAAATGAGTGATTCATTTGTTTATGACTCTGGCTTGTAACGGGCTCTCGAGTCCTTGCAGAAAAGTTCATGATGAATTTATACCCTGTGCTGCCTTCATCTTTACAAAAAGAATTTGGAGTGACAGGGCCCAGAATGCTTTGACAAATGGTAGCATTGGTAGAATAAGGGGGTAGCTCCCCAAGGGTCTGTCTTCATGGCAGAAATGTGCATCCTGGTACTCACACACACAGTGCCACTCAATAGTTCCTTAAGATTCTGGGCAGATGTGGCTAATGCTTTCCTCTGATACAGTAAGCGACTTCATGGTAGATTCTGTTTCATTTATTTTGCAGAAGCACAGTCCATCCAGCGTCTCCTCCCCTGCTTTGTACTCAAGGAGATGTTGAAGTGGCAGAGTCTCCCCTCCGAATTCTAGCTGAAGCCCCGGATTCCTTTGAAAAGCATATAAGAAGCATTTTGCAACGCAATGTTGCAAATCCAGCATTTTTGAAGTATGGGATATAGGTTATAGGTTTTAAGAACTGGTTCATCCTCTCTCTCCTCAGCTATTTATTTCATTTCATGTACTTTTTACTAAGTTGGAGTTGGAAGAAACATAGGACATATTTAATCAGCTAGTGAATAGACAGAATGGATAGAGAGGCACCTGAAAATGATAAACAGGAAGTATAAAAAGGGAAAAAAGCAGCTATGACTTGAGTCAATTTTTAGTTGTTTTACTCAACTAAAGGAAAGTAATGGTAGAAACTTTTTTTTAAAGATCATCTGAAAAAGATACAGCCCCTCCTCCTGAAGAATGTCTTCAGCTCATCAGCAGAGCCACCCAGGTGTTCAGAGAACAGTACATTCTTAAACAGGACCTGGCCAAGGAGGAGATTCAGCGGAGGTAGGTGGCCTTTGCTCACGTACCACCAGCTCCTGGCGGGCAGCTGACACTGTGTAATGGCCTAGACCTGGCTTCCCATTACATTTCTTTTTTTTTTTTTTTTTTTTTTTTTTGCTTTTGAAGGATCAAATTATTATGTGACCAAAAAAAGAAACAACTTGAAGATCTCAATTATTGTCGAGAGGAAAGGTAAGTGCCAAAATTGGGGAGGAGAAGAAAAAAAAAAAAAAAAAAGCTCCAGACGACTGGAACTGTATCTTGCCCTAAAACCCAGACCACATTAGCTGGCGTCACCATCAAGATGGACCTTAAGAGTCTCTTTTTTTCTGCCATTAGGAAAAGTCTGCGGGAAATGGCTGAGCGCTTAGCTGACAAATATGAGGAAGCCAAAGAAAAACAAGAAGATATCACAAACAGGTCAGTGGTCGTACAACATTCAGTTCCCCGCTCAGGTACTACTAGTGCTACGTGCTCAGATATTAACAGTGCCATGCGAAGTGGGCCTGGAGTGTTCCCCGAGGCCTGCGGAATGGAGCTGGCTCCCTTACCTCTCCTGAGGTGCGTTAGGGAAGACAGTGCAGTGATGCCTTCCCCGTCATCCTGTGGTGCCCCCTTCATAGACACCAGATTCATCCCTAAGTAGCAGAGATCTTAAGCTGAGATGTTTTCTTGCCTTTTTTAAAGGATGAAAAAAGTACTTCACAGTTTTCATTCTCAGCTTCCAGTTCTCTCTGATAGTGAGAGAGACATGAAGAAAGAATTACAGTTGATACCTGATCAACTTCGACATTTGAGCAATGCCATCAAACAGGTAGGAATGAATATAGGTTGTTAAATTTTGTACTTATGTTTGTTCTGTAAAAATTATTTCATAAAATATAAAAAATTCTCAGAGGGGGTAGGGAAGGTGGGAAGAGATTTACTAAAGAACTTACAAGTATAATCCATGGACATAGGCAGTAATGCAGTGAAGGCCTGGGAAGGGGGCAGCAGTGGGGAAGGAGTCAATGAGGGGGAAAAAGGGGGGGGGGGGCAAATCTGTAATACTTTTCAACAACAAAAATACATTTAAAAAGTAAAAAGATACCATGAAAACATGTAGCATACCACAGCCAAAAAACCTATGTTCTGTTTGATACTTAAGGTTACCATGAAAAAAGACTATCAGCAGCGCAAGATGGAAAAGGTACTAAGTCCTCAAAAACCCACCATTACCCTCAGTGCCTACCAGCGGAAGTGCATTCAGTCCATCCTGAAGGAGGAGTAAGTAATACTAACAGTCAGCTGTTATGAGGTAGCTTTTTCTTTGCAATAAATATGCCAAAAGTAGCCTTTCTCTGCCCAGCTGACATTACTTGGCATTTGTATGTCAAGTTTACTGAAATAGGAGCCATGTGATAAAGAACTTGAGATGATGACTTCATTGTAATATGATTTTGTTGTGTGGTCAAGGTGTAGTCCCCAGGGAACATGTTAAAAAATATTTCCAGCAGTTGCAATACTATTTGCCACTGTTGTTAGCCTTAAATAAGTAGTAAACACCATTACTATCCATCTGAAATGTTAACCTGTTTATTTTAGCAAAGCACTTCTAATTTCAACATTACTAACTAGTTTGAATTCTTTATGGCTTACTCATTTGTTCTGTTCCCAAAAGTGATTTTATGATTTTACAGGGGTGAACACATAAGAGAAATGGTGAAGCAGATTAATGATATCCGAAATCATGTCAACTTCTGACACCACCAGGAACAGTCGCACCTAAAGTTAACACAAGTGAAGGCTTGAGCTCAAACTGTAAAACAAGCCAGTAGCATTATCTATTTATAAAGAGGCATTTGGATGAGCTTTGGTGTTATATTGTTCATCATTTTCATACTTTACTTGTTTTATAATTATTGAATAAATGCTTTTACTTAAAAATTGGAATGTGCCTTATATATAAGCTTAAGTTGATGATTATGTTCAGCAATGGCTTAGGATTTTTTTAAAAGCCCAAGAACCTTGAGTTTTCTCCACAGTTGAACAAGATTAAGAGCTGCATTTTAAAGTGCCAACACCAGAAATGTGATTCTGAAAAGGAAGGATTCAAAGGAAAAGGCCACACAATATACTAGGCAGCAGCTTTTTTAATTTGAACACTCTCTTCCTAAGGACACACCTTCAGTACAGTTAACAAACGGTTACATCTGAAATCTGCTTAGAGCCGAGCCCAGGATCCACAACTGCAAAGCCGCTGCTGGCTCACTTCCACAGGCAGTATTACCTTTGAGAGCTCAGTTTGGCTGTGCACTGTGTCCTGATATGAGTTACAAGTGAGTACAAGGTACAAATGTAGGACCTCAAAGGGAAAAAGAAACAAAGACTTTGTATGCAGCATATGATTTTGTTCTGTTAGCGTTGGGTAATGTTTTTTACCTGCCCATATTAGTTCTGAAAGGTAATACTGCACCTGCCTAGAAATGGCCGAGTGACTGCCAATTAAAAGCCACATAAGGCAGGTAACAGGTAGGAGGTAAATCATGTTAGACATGCGTGAGAAAAACATGTGTACAGACTGAACACAAACACAGGAACACTTGTGAAACCGAACTGATCTTTTCTTTTGTCCAGACAGGCTAAATCCTGCCTTCAAATCAGTTTCCCGCTTACACAGAAAACCCAGATTAAAGTGTTTCTTACCAGGATAGTGGCACAATGTTTGCTTCATACGAGAAACAAATTGTTAACAAAACCTAGAGTAACAGTTTGGGTTTTTCTAGGATATTTTTCTTAACAAAGTGGGTTCCAACAGTCTGCATCTGCCACAGTAGAGACTACCAGTGGTTCCCTAATCATGATTTTATTGGCCCAGTACCATCTTACTGAGAAAAACATCTGCAAGCTTGTCTCAGCAGAGCAGTTCCCTGGGACCTATAGTTTAGTTCAGGAAGATTATGAATTACCCATCCATCCTGAATTATAGTGCCAATTTTAATATTCTGAAACAAATTAGCTCAGGGCTTATTCAAGGAACCAGTCTTACACTTACAACATTTAAACAGATTGTATTTTAGAATTAAATTCCCTGTAACTCAATGAGGATAAATGTTTCCTTTAAACCAAGTAGTACTTTATACAAAGGGACTGTAAACCAATTAAAATAATGTTTCATGCATGGCAAGCCTGTAGCACTATTTCCATAATTAGTATTTACTTTTAAATTCATAATCATGAATTCAAGACTACAACAATAACCTAAGGAATGAGGTATGTAGTCTGTATCTTGTCCCATGGAAGACAGAAGTAAAGATCTTTCGGGCTAGTCCACAATAGCTTCATTTATAACAATGACAATTCACTTTAAACTCTAAGTTGATGGTGGCTTTAAATGAGCCAAACAATCTACTTAATCCATTTAATTACTGTAAGGGTCCTTCAAGTACCCTGCTGTTATATAACACCAATCACAAAAATTATCTGAAAACAATTTTACCTTTGAACCATCTCTATCATGAATGAAACCATGTAGACTCCTACTGGCTGACAGTCCTGCAGCAGGTCAATAACCAATAGGAACCGTTCTCTGCTTTCTGCAACACCATACGGCCACGGCCAAGGCAGCCTGTTCACTGAAGCTTTCTTCACAAAGAAAAGCTAACCTCACAGGAATGACAAAGCAGATTTCCAAACTGATGAACGGACTGACTGGGGTTTTCCCAACTTCATAAGCATTATCACACTCCAGGTCTAAATTATAAAAGAAAAATACAAAATTGGTACCTGTCAAACATAGTTATCACCATTTTGTATTTGACACTTCTGAAACAGTACTTCGGCCCATTGATTCGAGTTAAAAGCAAGCAGCAGATTTATAAATTTGTACTAGATGTTGTCAGCTTGTTTTGTTAATATTATCTTTTCCCACTGATCCAATAACAGTTTTCAAGAGCAGGTGGTACCAGTTCAGTTTGACCCTGGTACCTGTGGGCCCACGAAATTTATCCAAGTAGCAGAAAAAGTGCTTTCAAACAGTTTCTTGTGCTTTTCCTTTAGCCTCAATTTCCAATACGTATAGCCCCAGCTAAGTTTTCAAATTCTCATAATTCAGTTCTTGAATTGGTTTTGTTTGCCACAACTTCTGATTCTCCGGCAAGTTTCAGTAGCATTTAAGATCCTCCAATGAAAGATAGAATAGTTTTTTAAAAAAGCACTGAGCTAGGAAATGCAGTCACTAGCCAATGGCCTGCTCTCAAACTTCATATTTTAATATAAAATACTCATACAGCATACTACACGTGTCTTGCTAGCTGAATACTGTTACTGATGTACTCTATACAACAAAAAATGATCTCTTCCAATATCTATGAACAGGAAATGTAATTCCAAACACTACTGGATGGTGCTTTAGGGAAATGTTGGATAAACAGGCAAGGAAACAGCACTTTCTCCATCACTGAACCTGATCCACATCTGGAGTCAAGCCTGGGGTCTCGCTAGTGTTCCCACTTGAAAGGTCTTTTTGCTGCAAATTAGCCTGGCTGTTTGCTGTTCCTGTGCTGCACAGTCTTCTCCCACTAGAAACACATCTCCCCAGTCTTCCTTTTTTGTGACTTCTTTAGTTAAGAGTAAGTAATTAATGTTGCTCTAAAGATGAGTTAAAAACCCAAAGTGCAGGCGAGAGTCCTGCTGTGAAGGTGTCATGTCTCAGGAAGCTGGTTAATGTCTGTCAGTTTGGTATCATTCAGAATTGCCCGGACTCTCTCCAATGAGTCTGCTTGCCGGATCCGCTCTAACTGCACCTGGAGAGACAATACAGGGTAAGTGCACATGGTTCCTGCCTAGATTTTTGGAAGGTTACTTTGATTGGTTTAGAGGAGATGGAGCAATTCCCAAAAGCTGCTGTGGAGCAGACCCAGTGTAAGGTGCTGGGACCATGGATGTGAATGAGACCTGACCCCTGAGAACCCACAGTTCAGTTGGTGGGGGGGCAGGGGGACTTACAGAGAATCTCAGCACAATATGCTAAATGTCACTGTAGGCACTCACTGTGTGCCAAGCGGCATGGAGGTGGTGGTGGACCACTGTGGCCCAGTGTGAGGACCTAGCTCTGTAGGTCTATAGGGAAGACAAAGCTAAGCTGAGCCTGGGGAGTCAGGCGCTGATGAGATAATGAGGCTTACCAGAGTGACTACTGTGGGCAAGGAACCACAAGGAGTTAAAATACATTGGGACATGGAATATAAAATATAAGGCAAAGAGGTGAAAAACCATAGGGATAGGCCTTGTTGGGAAGGGTCTTACATGGTATTCCAAGGACTTCACACTTTACTCTTAAGGACCAACGGTAGAGAGGGAAAGGGGCACAAGTCTGAGGTACACACCTGGGTTTTGGCTTGAATGACCAGGCAGGTGTTTGGGCTGGATTAGCTATTGTCAGTGGTGGAGTCAAGGGGCGGTGAGTTCTCCTGGGTACCAGGACCCCCTAAAGTGCCTTGGTGCTCTAAGGGTTCCCCAAATGCCTCACCTGAAGGGTTTGAGAAAGCTTTACAAAATCTCTCTGGACTTGTTCACTGACATCTAGTTCTGTCTGCAACCTCTGAGCTTTGTTCTTCTCTTCAAACATTAGTTGTTCAATGGTAACCTAAAAAAATACAAGTTTTGAAGGAGGATTAACGCCAAAGAGCCATAGGTCAGAATCACTTAGGACAGTGGTTCTCAATTTGGCTGCACATTAGAATCACCTGGGAATCTTTGTAAAATTCTAATTTCTGGGCCTCACCCTCCGGAAATTCTGTTTCTTTGTTATGGGGTGGGGCCACAACATTAGTAACAAAGAAACAGAATTTCCGGAGGATGAGGCCCAGAAATCAGGATTTTAAAAAGATTCCCAGGTGATTCTAATGTGCAGCCAAGGTTGAGAACCACTGACTTAGGAGATCTAGGAACTTGTAGTCTCCTACTAGAGAAGAAAGGTGGGTATTGAGTTGCCTAAGCTACTTGCTCGAGGTCCCTAAAATGAATCAAAACGTATTAAAGTGCTGCACGCACAGACGCACACATCTCCCCTCACCCCCAGCAGCCTGGTGACAGTGGCTAATCAAGAAGCAGCTGCTAAGCCCTAGCTGGTTTGGCTCAGTGGATAGAGCATCGGCCTGTGGACTGAAAGTTCCTGGGTTTGATTTCGGTCAGGACACATGCCCTGGTTGTGGGCTCGATCTCCAGTAGAGGGTGTGCAGGAGGCAGCTGATCAATGATTCTCTCTCATCATTGATGTTTCTATCTCTCCCCTCTCCCTCTCTGAAATCAATATCCACACTAATAAAAGAGAAAGATGCAAATTGACTGTACCTTTGCGACACCCAGCAGCCAATTAGGAGTGAGTAGGCAAATTAACCCAACAAAGATGGTGGATTAATTTGCATACACAGGTGCCAAGCAGCCAGGGGCGAGGTGGGATGCTTGCATCGTCGCCATGGCGACAATGCAGGTGTTCCGCACCGCCCAGTCGCTCCGGGCCTCTGGGCACCATGGGAAGGCGGAAAGTTGTCTCCAGGCCAGAACGAAGGCAGAAAGGTGGCTCCGGGCTGGAGTGAAGGTGGAAAGGCGGCTCCAGCCGGAGTGAAGGTGGTGCCGGCAGCCAGGGGAAGGAAGGCCCATTCTTGCATGAATCTTTGTGCATCGGGCCTCTAATATATATAT